TTCACAGACAAGTTCGGTACCAGTTTCCATAATTTGGAAAAATAGAAAGGGTTGAGTAGCTCAACTAGGGTTTGCACCAGAACATTGGAAGCTTAGACGAATTTGTCTACCTGTGCTACATCCACCCTCATCGTTGATTTGCATATGGACGGCATTTTTTATCGATCACGCAATAAGCTGTGTTGATGGTTGCCATTTATTGTGTAAAGCACTCTTAACTTTGTTTATATTTGCTGATTTCCGTTGTTTACAGCTTGTAATTACGGCTGAACGTGTTGCATCGATGAAAGACGTAATGCAGGACTGGCGACGACATTTTGTCTTATTTGCCGATTGGTTACATGTTTTACCAGAGTTTTCATCAATTAGTGTAGACGATCAGGCAAGCATTTCTCCATAAAAATACACGGTTTTGATAAGTGGTCTTATCTCAAAAACCTGCCAGCTCTTTTAATTGATTTCTGTCCTTTGGAACATGTGTCACTTTTCACACAAGTTGACTTGTACTTATGTGTGCTGTTGCATGTTTGTGGTTTCTGATATTGAATAACTTTTTTAGCTCATAATAGACTCTACTGTTGAATTACGGTCGATGGAATGTACAGTTTTTCTCTAGGAAAAAGCAAGTTTTTCTATTCTGTAATTTAGAAGTTCAATTCCTTAAGGCTGCAAAATGTTGTTTTTTTTTCGTTGTTTTTGAAGGGTGGTATCTTTAGCATGAAGGCGACCAGAGAGACAGAATCTGTTAAAGAAAGCACGATAGTGCCTTTGGTTTTATTCAAATGGTGCTGCTATTGTGAAGAGAATTTGAACACTTTGTTCTAATTTTTTTAAAATCTAGTTTGAAAACAAATTCAAAATAACGGCGGAACAACTTACACTTATAACGAAGTCCATTCTATGTGGAGATCAAATGAAAACCCATGTTTTTCAGCATCGATCTGCAAGTGTTGCAAGTGTCCTCTAATATTGTTACTATTTTATTTGGTGATAAGGGAAAAGGATGGGAATCAGATCAGATCAAACACTACATACACAGCTACTTTTATGTCCTTGCCATAGGATGTAGAATAAGGTTGATTCACAATAAGGTTAACAGATTTTGATAGCAGAAAGTAGATTTGTTCACTCTACTGGTTGTTGTGCGCTAATTGGACAAATGAAGCGTGTTGTGATGGAGTCTGATACGCCAATGGCACATATTTTCCACGTTAGAATGTTTCCCCAACGTAAGGTCAGGTTTAGAAGTTGGTATATCATAGTCACATCGATATTTATCATTGGTAAGAATCTATATCTGCCTTTGTATCAGTTTAAGCCTTTTTCTTAGGGGATGTAGCGATCAAATGGTAGTGACATTGTTGGAACCACTTCGTGAATTACAACTTGATGAAACCAAGAAGTGCCTTATGCTGGCTGTTATCGTCTTAAGTGATGGTTTGTGCTTTCTCGAGTGATTTCGAGTTTCACCAACGAGAAATGAAATTGATTGATATATAAATCCGTTCATTTTGGCAGGAGTCATATCGATTTATCGGTGTCCGGGTCATTTAGAAAAACTGAGTCAATATAAGCGACTGCTGTTTCAACTGTTTATTTGTCGCCCCTAGTTTTCTCTACTGTTCAATCAGTAACCTCTAAGGCGCATGGTGTACCAAATATCTTCCAGAAATTCATTTACAAACAGTTGCTCTTCTATGAGCTTGCTCGACCCACAGTCGAGAATGTTTTGATTAGGGGAGTAGTTAGATGTCTGCTGTATCAAATATTGTTACTCTGGGTAGTAGCACAGTCACACAAAGTGCAGCGGAATGAAGCATATGTGATCAATTCTGGTCTCTGCTTCTTATAAAGGCGAATAATGGTATTGTCATGCTTTCTTGACAACAAGTGAAAAGCAATAAAGAATTCTGTTATGCAAACGAATTCGAGCGTAGTATGATTTGATCAGTTCTAATAGTTTAGAACCCTTGAAGTTATCGATATGTGGCAAGAAACATGTTCGCACAATGGGATATCGTTTTGTTCAAATACTACACCATCATATCCGGGATCGCGAGCCAAATTTATCGAATTCAGCGATAGGACCTCGTATTGCAAAAATAATGTTTCTATTAACGGCAACGACGGTACGTACTGTTTGAGGTGATATCCTTTATCTAGTCCTTATCGAAATAGGTAGCCCAGCGAATCCTCCTCTCTAGGGATTTGCTGAGTATCATATCTTTCTTCTAGGCTTTCTGTGAAGAAACTGGACCATTGGGTTGGTGGTCTTCCTGTGTAGCGCAACCCGAGGAATCCAGTCGGTAACGGCTCTCGTCCATCGGCTGTCGTTGAAGAGCATCACATGTCCACCCCACCTTATTTTCGATATCATGGCTTGTAGAACGGGGTTTCTGATCTTCGATCGTTGACGTCGGTCGAAACTTTAGTTCCTTTCTCTCATTTGCGAGATACGGGATACTCATAGCATCGACCTCTCGTCCACGCGTTCGATAACGCCAAGTATCTTTCATCCCCTTTACGTAGCGACCACGTTTCTGCATATACTAGGGCAGGGATAACCGTCAAGTCGAAAAGCTGGACACGGAGTTGCATGCTCTTCTATTTTTTCATAATGTCCTCGATGCTCTTAAACGCTCCCCAAGCCGCTCAATTCCCCTGCTCAACTCCGGAGCAAGGTCGTTGATCATGTCAACTTCAGTACCTAGTCAGACGTAACTAAAGCTTCCGGACATCTTCGTTTCGTTCCGTGTGAATGGGACATTCAAAACCCATCCGTTTCTCATGAACATCGTTCTCGTTTAATTTAGTCAAAGACCAAGCTTTCCACATGCATTTTCGAAATCGGTCAACATGGCGGATGGCGGTGTATAAAGCACATTGATTAGAAATAGAGCTTATATATTATAATTTCCTATTACTATTCCATAAGCACTTTAGAGCTAAAATCAGGGAATTATATAAATATATATGAAACTATCAATAAAAAATCGACACAGAAATGTCAAATAATGATACTTTTAAGATTTCTTAAACTTTTTGCTGAACATAATAACCAGCAACTTTGTAGATGCGACACATTGGAGTTAAAAAACCGAAGAAAAACCCTGCTGTCGTCAAAAAAGTGGTTTTTAGCTGGAGATAGTACACTGCTCAGGGCTGCATCCCGCCCCTCTTCCCGTGATAGCTATCTGGAGGAGAACTGGTTAAAGAGGACGAACTGTCTACCAAGAACTTCAAAGGGAGTGAATACGTCTTATTTTTACAATCAAAGAGTTTGGACCAAGTCTCCAGCATTATCAAGTAGTTGGTCACTACAAAAGAAAGATGAAACTACAGCACACTTCGCGCATTTACTAATAATTGACGGTAGCGAAAAACCTTCATCGCAGCCTTTGTAAACGTTTTTCTTCCATCTTTGGTGAAAATGACAATTTCATCACTTATTATCAAATTAGGAATTTTCTTTTATACTTTCTCCAAATAGCTCGTCGCATCATCGCTGTTGGAGTGTACTTCCGTTCGTAGAGCGGTGATGTAGAACAGAGGTTTATCTCACAGAATGATTGCAGGCTTGGAGTAAGTTCGATAATTCCACTCATCTCTTAGGTAAAAGACATAGGCATCAGCTATCGCCGTTCTTTTGATAGCATCCTGGATGGAGCTAAGAGATATTTTATAACCCATATGGGGTTATAACTTCCTTTTGTAATGACGTAAAGTAAAAAAGCCCTAGCACGGCTATCTGGGGAATCCAGGGGTAGGGTTTTGCTCAGCAGAGAATTACTACTCTATTTGCAACTGAGTTATCGCACGCACGATTCTTCGTATGTATTAGTGATTCTTCCATTATTATTTGAGCCAGCATGTCATGTGGCCTGGTAAGGGCTCTTGTACAGCCCGAGACACGTGTTTCGTCCTTACAGACTCATCAGCCGGGCAGAACCCGTCGTCTGCCGATCTTTTTATAGTCAGTTCTCTCGGGAGCGTGTAAGGAGTGTAACGCTCTGAGTTGATCTCCAAATTCAAGTTCGTACGGCAACGGATTTCAAGGAAGGATGGCGATAACCTGTGAAAGGGCGACGAGATCTGCACAGAACATCGGGTAACATCAGGACGCATGAAGAAATCTTCGACATAACTATGCTGCGATTTGTGTAACGGTAGCTTGAAGCTCATTAAAATATTACAATATAAGAAAAAACCCTAAGAGTCTAAAGAAATAGAAAGCATTGTTCTAAGTATACCACTAAAAGGCGTAAATACGATAGGTTCCAGTTTCCGCAAGCAAAAGTTTTATTTTCTTAGTAGTCTTTCTTGGGTAGAAGAAAAATGGAATGACCGATTTTTGTTCAGCACTTCGCAGACGAGGTGATCGTCGTTATGAATTCAGTAGATTCAACGATAAGGCTATAACGACTCTCAACGGTTAAGAGCTTCGCTGGAGAAAAATGCTGCTAGACTTTTAATAGAGACTTGTGGCGTTATGGAAAGGAAAACAGAGCGATGATGATTAGCTCTATCGTTCGGCGAACACAGACGAATTCTATTAGTAGGATGTGTTGATCAGAATTATATTGCTACTGCACTGTTTGATGTAAGGAGCTGGGGCGATTTTCGTCATGTAATGTTATCAAACACCTGCTTTTATTAAGAGATATTACTAAAACCTCTCAATTTGAATGTTTGAAATTAATTTAATCGAATGGAAAGTGATTGCTGAGAAGCCAAGCGATGACGAAGATTTAAATAAACTTCCTTTAAACATAGCAGTTTGTTTACTTATTAGAAATATGAAGAATACAGAGATTTCACCCACGTCTTGTCAAATATGGTGGCTTCAACGAAGAATGACGTGAATACTATGCCAACCGATTAAAAGCTAGTCTCATTGAAGCATGTAATAAATCAAATGTCATTTTTTATATAACCGCTTATAGCGGTGGTACGATGTTCCAAATATATGCCCAATGATGTAGAGTGATGTGCAAAACTTTCGCGTTAGGCGGGACTAGAACCCGCACCTCACTCTTTCCTAGAATGCGTGCTCTGTTCGTTACACTACTGACGCCCATTTTGGCACATCGCTCTTTGTACGCTACAGCGCACCGGATACGGCTGACGGCTGACAGATAGGTGCGCTGTAGCGTAGAAAGAGCGATGTGCAAATGGGAGTTAACAGTGTAACGGACAGAGCACTCATTTCCGGAAAGAGTGAGGAGCGGGTTTTAGTCCCGCCTGACGCTGAAGTTTTGCACATCACTCTACATCAATAGGCATCTAATAAAAACAAGCAAAATGATTCACCTCTTTTGAAAACCGTCTTTTTACGAATGAAATTACAAATTAAGGTTGGCGACGACATGGAAATATAATTCGAAATGACTTGAGGTGGTAACGATATCGAGATTCTCGAGTTAATGCTATGATTGTTTACTGGCACTGGGTTATTATAGGTGTACAATTCGTTGACAACGAACCAGATGTGTGATGGCATAATGATGCAATCGCTCCTAATAACCAAATAGGCAAACTTCCTCTGAAAGTGATCATACGGTCTTCACAGCCTTACTGAAGCAAAGGTTATTAGTTCTATCGCTGGAGAGCTAAGAGGAGAAAGTGAGTCAGTTTTCGGGGCTGACTTTCAACAACTGGCCGTTTCGTCATGACGGCCATCTCTAGCTGGTCCGTAATAGAGACAGAAGGAAAGTTGGCCCACTAGAACAACCTGTACAGAAGTCTCTTCTGTAATAGCGTGTCATTTAATGGAGACCGAGTTCCCTCAAGACAAAATTTGCGGCATAAATACAAGATTCTCGTTGCGGTGCACAAAAATCTCCGTAAGTGCCCGGACAGAGAGGACACGCAAGCATTGTTTTCGTTACACCTTTCAGTTCCACTGAAGGGCTATATCAAAGTCCATGTTGCTCAATAAGTTTGTGTCTATCTGAGAGTGTGTTTGTGGCTTGGTGGTCAGAAGTGCAGTGCAGTACATATGTACCATTCAGGTGTTGGTCTTTCAATTATGCATTAAAAACCAGCCGCTTAGAGTCAGTGTATGAGTGAGGCTGAACCTGACTAATGCCAGGAAGTTGGGTTGGAGTTACGTTTCCCAGTTGGGCGTTTTTTTTACACGTTCGCAAAGTAGTCTACCCGTTTCGTCAATGATTTTATTACCGCATGCTTCGCAACAGATTAGGTAAATTGTACCAGATCTCATGCATTTGTCGTCCCTAGCGTTTAAGCAAACTTGGCAATCCTTTGCTTCTCAGAAGCGGTCACACAGTGGATTGCGACCTAATTGGCGCTTTAGTGTATTAAGGGGCTACTCGCCAACTGCTATTGAATTATCCGGACCTGCGTTTTCTACTCAGCGTTTAATAGCTGCACTTACCTCGTTAGAATACGCAGTTGCTTCAGCGATGACGATAAAAACGAAATCCCATTATTGGAAAATTAAGCCCTGTGATTACCGAGTACTAAATCAATCGACAACCAATATATTGGCAACAGAGTGACATAAACGAATTGTAAATGTTGCAAAGCTCAGAGCAGTTTATGAGAGATTCCAACTACTTTAGAACCAATACCATGTCGATTTTTTTATAGACCTAGTTTCAAAGGTTCACCCGGTTCACGTTCCGACGTATTCATTAACAGTTGTACGGCTTCGCTGTAAATCTACTTCTTCCTCCGTTTAAATTAAATATGCCTACTCAAATTATTGTCCCTGAAGCAGAAGAAGACGGCGAAACATTAGTCGAACAAAGTTTTTTTGACCGACTTTACCTTAATTGGTGGGCTACAACGTTTTAAGTAGTCGCTAATAATGAGGTCCAATATAAGTTGGTTTCCAAAATATCTGCTTATGCATATTATTTATGAGTGACATTCGGAGGTTAACTGTAGCGCAGTTAATCTTTTGAATTTGTGTGGCCGGCGCTAAACTCAGCAAAGAACCGAAACGCTGTTCGCCTCCACACAAATCATTGAGTTCTTACACGGCTGAGACTCTCAAAGGTGGTCTGTGCATCGTGCCCAAATTCATATTCGTGAAGCAGTAAATTGTGATAAAGGCTTCGTTGAGTGGCCATGATACAGCAGGCATGGGCAAATTTCGTATCAGAAGAAAACTCAGAAAAAGATGCACAAGACGCTAATGATTAGTTGCCTGAGAGACGGCAAAAATGTTTTCAAGTTGATATCGCATACTATGAATAGTGTTGTCAAGCAATTTCAATCACTTCTGGCCAATTAGTTCGGTGTTTCTTACTCTAGTGTCAAAACTTACGAGAACATTTAATAATGTACAGGAGGCCTATATATTTTCAAAAGGCAGCATTTGGAGTTGGAACGATTGGCGCTACTAATTTATTTGAAAAATCGATGATTTTTGTTTCGATAAACATATTTGTCGCATTTATTTAATGCCACGAGACTGGTGCAAAAGCTTATTCGGCTTACGTTTCAGCGTCTTTATTCACAATTGTGCGTTTTCACTGTAAATCTACTTCGCTCCGTTCAAGTTAAAAATTCCTATCGGCTCAAAATATTGTCTCTAAAGCAAAAGAAAACTACGAGACCTTATTTGAATATAGCTTTCTATAAATCAACTTCACACTATTTTCTGGTCAGTGATTTTTTAGTGACTGTTAATGTCGAGGTCAAAGGAGAGCTGGTTTACAAAATAATTGTGGGAATGATAATTTTATGGAAGACATCCGGAAGCTGACTAAAATCAGATTCAACCGTTATGAACTATGTTGCTGAGTGCAGAAGTTACATGTGTCCACAGTTTGTATTTGTTAGGGAGCAGCAGTCGACTAATTACTGCAGCTTCAATGTCGTTACTTTATGTTACTATATTGGATCCCATGTCGTAGTTCTAGGCAACCTTGCTGAGAACCTTTGTCTCTTAAAAAGTAGAATGGCCGATTAAGCGAACTGTACAAAGCTCCTCAAATGTTCGAGCTTCGCAAATTTTCGTCTATTGGAAAATGTACCGTGCTTATATGCCTATATAAATCAAGCATACCATATTGTTACAGAGATTTGAGCTTTTAAATGGCTACAAAGAGCTTTGAGGAAAGTATTCCTACAGATTGAGAGGTCTCCGGAAGTTCGCATATTCAAGAATACATTTCGTCCTGAAAGGGATGATAAAGATGGTGGCGCATTCCAGAAAGGATTTAGATGTGCTTGTTCATTTGTCTCTTTGCCCAGCATATTAAAGGGGCGTGTGCTCAATTCCCATGTAGCAGAAGCGATTTCTTAGGATGCTCATTAGATCTTGAACCGCCGAGTGATAAGTGTCCATTTCATTTTTTACACAATATGATAACATGGAAAGCAGCTTATATTGAAAAGTTATCGGTGAAGCCCATGTGAAGAGAGGTAATATCGATTGAGCCTTTCATGAATTATCTGTATGCATGTGCACAAAATCTTCCCCAACCCCCGGTTTTATATGTAGAGAATTAAAACGAGCCTAAGCTTTTCGGTCAGTAATAGGCTCAAAAACTGTCTTCCCATGCAGTGGCGGTAAGAGATGTGCGAAATTTGGCGTCAAGCGGGACTTGAACTCGCACTTCAGCCTATCCGTAATCACGTGCTCTATCACGATGTACTTCTGTAGCTTTGCCAGCACTCTTTCTACTCTACAACGCATCAGTTCGTCAGCAACCAACCACTAACTTTTTGACGTGGTGGTCGATGTCGGCAGTGAACCTAGTTACGCTGACAGATATAGGATAAAAGCGTAGAAAGAACGATGTGCAAAATGGGCGTCACTAGTGTAACAGATAAAGCACGCATTACCTGAAAGAGTGAGGTGCGGGTTCTAGTCCCACCAGACGCGAAAGTTTTGCACATTGCTCTACATCAGTGAGTATGTATTTGAAACATCATACCACCGCTATAAGCGGTTAAATAAAAACGAATATCATTTGATCTTTAATATCCGATATCTGTCATCGTGTTTAAGTTCAATGTCATACCGTAATCGTGACCGACTACCCGGGTCAGGCCGTTGACGGCTGGCGGCTGGCAGATTGGGGCGCTGAAGCGTAAAAAGAGCGATGTGAAAAATGAGCGTCAGTAGTGTAACGGATAGAGCACGAATTCCCGGAAAGAGTGACGTGCGGGTTCTAGTCCCGCCTGACGCGGAGGTTTTGCACATTGCTCTACATCAATAGATATAGGATATAGATGTTAAAGACAAAATTTGGCGTCGCATTATGCATGAAATATGGCTAATATATGGCCAGATCAAAGTGATTTCACACTTGAACTATCGAAAAAACCCTGCCTTACAGATGAAGCAGGATAGGCGTCAAAGAATACGCACATGCAGGCCTATCATTGAATAGGGGCGTTAAAAACGAACAGGATAGAGAAACAACAATGGACTGGAGAAGATTGAAACGTGTTCTAGAACTCCATGCTGTAAGATGATCGTTTGTAATTGTGTTTCACACTAACATATAATCGCAATGCTAAAAATCAACAGGTAATAGACGATACAAAAAAGGAAGTCTATATTTACTTTATTTATCCTCTTACTTCGCGAATGTCAGCAATTCTTGCACTCCATTCATTTACTCTATTTCGTTCTCCATGAAGGTTTTGAAACACTATCCGTATTACCTTAGATATTGTTAGAGATTTCTCCTTCTTGATGCGCGACGGAGAATGCTGACTGACAGAGCATCCCATCGTTGGAGCGGGAGCCGCCGCCACAGCGACAATGGGATCGCCTACCTCTTCCGCGTTGAAGATGAACACAGAATTTTGTATAGCCTTTCTGTCTGTTCGGAAAGGCGGCATTCTAGCTATTTAGGTGGTCACAAGGGTCTTACTATGAGTGGGGTTGGTTCATAATGAGCTCCAATTTTGCAATTTTGGGAAAGAAGATTGGTCCCTATGATTACTCGCACTTGTTGATCTTCAAAAATAACTGGAGTATGGCACTGCAGAGAAATACTCTTTTCAGAAAATATGCGCAGAGCCGGAATCATTGAGTTTTATTGTTATCGCATGATTAATAGTAATCTAAAAAAGTGCTCCGTTCGG